TAAGGAGAATGTAAGTGGACAGATTCCCTGAATCCCCAGGGACCTTGGAAGAGCCATCGAGTATAAGGAGAACGTGCAATTTGGACTGAAGCTCCTGGCTGAAGACACATGCTGGGTATCTATACGATGTAAAAGCAGCCAATCTGGAAGCAACGCATTGTAAATAGTTTTTCATTGTATGAAGTAGTGTTCACATTAAAAATATGTTTTATGATATTTCTCCAATAGCAGTACATGCATTTAATGAAACTTTAACTGTTAAAATTTCTAGTTCAAGGTATTCTACTCTTCAGAGTAGCCAATTACCTGTTGAACAGCTTTGTCAAAAATAAGTTGCTTTTCTGGCTTGACACTTTTGCTTTTAATAAGGTGTCCACAGCTCTACACAATGGCAACTAGCTGATTGCAGAGCACACAGAGACACTTCTTTCTACTTCTCAATCCACACTGAAGAGAAATGTGCCTCGAAATGGTGCAAATACTCAGTCAAAGGCAGTTAGAGGGGCTAGAGCAGATGTGGCTTTCCTAAGGTCAGCCGAGTTTTTAATCCACACTTTTATTTTCCAAATCAGTGAAACTTCGTGCTATTTTTGAAAAGATACTGAACACTGCAGCCTAATTATTGCTCCTCCCAAACCAAAATTGCTTTCAAATTTTGAAGAGTAAAAGATGTCTAAATTTTCAACACCCCTTTTTGATTCGTACATTTTCTTTTCAGCTATTAAAGTGTGTGAGCAGATAAATACGTGTAGCCTTCAACTTGGTTTTTCCTCACAGTTAGGAAGATGCTCAGACTGATATATTTAGTTTATTTCTGCCCAGACTCCTAAATATCCTCTTAAAAAACAATTCCTTGGCTCAGTGCTTGTCATTTACATTCTAATGTGCTTAAGTCAAGGTGTGCATCTCCAAAAGCTCTTCCCTAGATATAATTCCAGATAGAAAATTAAACCTATCTGTTATATGAATAATAGTGCAGTTCCTTACACGCACTAGCTAACAACTAGCCAGGAGCTTAGGGTCTTAGCTCTGAAATGCACTCTACATGGGGGAAGAAAAGTGAATAATAAAAATGCAAAGAATTAAGAGAAGTTTTATAAGGATGAGAAATGTATAATTTAGATTATTGACAGTAATTCTTAACTGGCAAGTAAATAGCAATATTTAATTTAAAGCAAAAATCCAGAAATCATAAAAAATAACTTGTAAAATATAACAAAATTGAAGAAACCATTTATAGTAATGGCAGGCATCTCATGTGTAACTTAAATGACTCAGAGCAAGGCACATGCAATTTGGTGTTAGGGCACACAGACTCAAAATCAGTGACTAGAACTGAGGGAGTCTATGAGATCATTTCATCAGACACCTTTTCCCGATGCAAAAGTTGCAGACGAGAACAATAAAACACCTTGCCTGATGTCACAAAGTCTGTTAGGTTCAGTGTTGGCACTGGACCCAACCCAGGGTTTGTTCCACCTATCCTCTCTAAAAAAATCAACTCTCTTTTGACCCATTTAAAGGAGTAAGACAAGTGAAAAAAGCAGACACACTTGTTGGGGAGTTATTCCCAAATTTGTACCATTTCTCCTTTTTTTCTAAGTCCTGCCCCATCTTTTATTTAAGATGCTGACTCAAATCATCAGAACATGTCTTCATGGTTAATTAAGCTGCTCTTTTTTTCCCCATTCAAATGAAAACAGAAAACATTCATCAAACAGGCTAGCGCCAAGGTTATGACTTATGACTCTGAAAATAGTTTTCTCTTGGAAAGGACTAACTGACCCACTCTGAATTGAACAAGTGGAGGCCTTACTATAATCTCCACTAATCAAACAAAAGTAAGACACTGTCTCCTGAGTCCGTAAGTTACGACTGTAGAGTAACTGCTGGCTTTCTGCCTTCATCTGCAATCCTTGAATGCGGGGAATACCCAGTTAAGTTACTTAATGTAAACAAATAACACCTTGTTAATTTTACCAATGTGTGCATTAGTCACACTGCATACACATTATGCATCACTCCTCAGGGCAAATGTCTGATCGGAAGTACATGAAAACAACTGGTAAAGCTTTGTGAAGACATGGAAATGAAAAGTTGGACAAAAACACACAGAGACTACAGGAAACACCTGGTCAGTCCATTGGGAAATGAAAAGTCACACTGGCAACATGTAAATTGAGCCCAGTGTCAGGTTTCCAGCAGTCCTGGCGATGTCCTGTCCAGAGAGTAGACCCTGAGGCATACTAAGGACATACGAAGGACATTCTGCCTCCTCTTTGCACCTGCTTGTTAAAAATCGATCCTTTCTGCTACTTGAGCTATTGCAGGTGTTGGTTTATTTTCTGTTTTTAGCAGCTATGGCTTCTGGATAGTAGAAAAGAAGGCCTCTAACCCCCAGTGCCCTACCCTCTCATTTCAGGGTGGTGAGGCCGGGGAGCCCAGGCCAGGGTAGCATTCCTCTCAGGCTGGGAGAATGCTCTCCGCCTGCATGGAGCTGGAAGGTCATCCAGCTTGCAGTCTTCATCATGTGGCCTCATTTAATACAATGAATGAATGTATTGAATCATTAACCAAGGGTTAAGAAATTAAGAAATTAAAAATGTAAATTTTAGTGCAGCCACAGCATAGCTCCTCTTTACCCACCCAATGAGTAAGACGGCCCAAGCTGCATAGTACATCTCTACCATTTTCAGTGGGTGCTCATGTCTATCTGAGCTATTGTTTGGTAAGACACAGACCTCCCCTTTGCCATGAGTTAGAAGAATTTTCTATTCGTTGTTTACCAGTGGGACTGTGTTAGGGCTGTGTGCCAAGAACTGTGTTGAAGGCATTTTGCATATGTCCTTTTATCCTCTTGACAACCAGCAAGGTATTTATCTGATATTAAAGGTGAACAAATGACTTTAGCCAAGGTCACGGAGAGCTTAAGTCAGGATTTGAACCCAGATTTGTCTGCTCCAAAGCCTATATTCCCAAGCACTACATCTATACTCATAAATTCCAAATATATATTTCGCTTCTAAACTGCAAGGCGGGTATTATGTTATAAAGAATAGTGAAGCAATTGACATTTTATTCTTTCATGCTCAGATGTGCTCTCTAGATTTACTCGCTCTGTATTGAACACATTTTAGGAACCAAGGATTCACCATGAACAAAAGCAGACATGTTCTCAGCTCCCATGGAGCTCACAGTTTGGCTGGGAAGGAAGAGACATTAATCCAAATAATTACAAAGATACAAGTACAATTACAAACCATGGGAAGTGCAGTGAAGAGGCTACCTGGGTTCACATTCTAGCTGAGTATTGAGGGGAAGTGTCTTTAATCTACTTTGCCTCTGTAATTTAGGAAGGATTCAAAATGCTTATTTCCCTCACAAGATTCTTGTAAGGACTGAATAAGATGATGTTTGTGAGGCAATGTGGACAGTACCTGGCTCACAGTGGACCTGTTTTATTACCGTTAGTTATTCTTGAAAGGTACTACAATGTGAGTATAATGGGGGCCTCACCCTCCTGGGATGATGAACTGAATACAACCCCCAAAACTTAAAACAGTAATTTATTATCTCTCATGGTTCTGTGGGTTGGCTAGGTTGCTTGGGATCTGTCATGCAGTTGCCGCCAGATGTCGACTGGGGCTGTGGCCATCTGGCTGGATACAGGATGGCTCCCTCACGTGGCTATTGGCAGGAGGCTCAGTTAAGCTGCTGACCAGAGCATCTGCACATGGTCTCTCCATGTGGCTTGAACTTTATAGAATAGCACTGGGTTCCCAGAGGGATCATCCCCAGAGTGAGCATTCCAGAAGACCCATGTGGAAGCTGCAAGTCGGGAGTGACAAGGTCACATTGCAGAAGAAGACATGGAAAAGCCAGTTGTAGGGGAGGGCAGAGTGCCATGCTCGAGGACCTAAAAAGACGGTAAGGCAAGTGCAGAGAATGAGAGGGAA